AACTCTATTATAATAATTATTAGTATTTTTAATTATCTTTGTTGTTTTAATTTCATATAATCTTTTTTAAATAATTTTTTACTTACAATTGAACAATTAAGAATTTAAGAAAACAAAAACTTAACTCACTTTTAGTTTTTAGAAAGTTTTTGTTGATGCTTTTATAAAATTTTGTTCAAGATAAAGATTTTACTATTCATTTTATATAATTTCATATCTTATATTTTTTACTTAATTTAGAGTCTTTTTATAAGGCATAATTATTTTATTTTTTGAATGAACAAATTTTCTATTTTAAATTTTTGAGTAATATTATTTTTTAATTTATAATTTTCTGTTTTTAAAATATTTTTCTATGCAAAGTAAAAGGTTGAAAGTTTTAATATAAATATTTATGTTACTCAAATAAGAGAATGCATATTTAAAGATATACAAATCTATCTAATTAAATTTGTTTTATAAGATTAACATAAAAAAATATTTATCAATAAATTAAATCATAAAAATATTTTTTTTCATATTTTTAATAGAAAAATTTATTTAATATTTTATATCATTTAATTAGGTTAATGCAATTTAATTATTACATGATTGATATAAAAATTAATCCTTATTATGTACATGTATGTTTTACTTTCTTTTGGTATTGCTAGACCAAAGCAATATGTAAACCTAAAAAATAAGTGTTTGTTCTCATTTAGAGAGTCTAATTTTGATAAAGTAAAATAGCCTAACTATATCTATTATTTCGACTTTATAATAAATAATTAACTAATGGTCTCTTTTTTAGGTCTTGAAAAGTGATAGTACATGACTCTTAAGTTTATGAGTTGGTTATTTTAGATGATCGTGAAGAATATGTGTGAAATTTTATTTATGATTTTTAAGTACTTTAGTTTAAAAAAATTGATGTATTAAAATACACTTAATACTTGTGATATTTGAATATTTATTTTCTACCTATGCTTGAACTTTATTCGTAAGTTGCATATCAAATTTTTATATTATTATACTACTTATATAAAATTATATATTTTTTATAAGTAATTTTTTCTTAAATAAGCGTGGGTAATAGGGATAAGTATGGGTATACAGGTACCCAAAGGGTACGAGTATAAGAATTAAAGTTACTACCCACGTGAATATAGAACTGGATACAAATATTTTTTTAAAACACGGGTATAGGAATGAGTAATATAGTACCCTACCCATTGTCATCCATATTTAGATATAGTTTATATCTTATTTTATTTATGTCAAACATTAAATGAGATGATATAGTATTATTTATAGTATAAGGTACATCAAGTATAAGATATAGTAAGAGTTTATTATTCACTTGTTATATCATATCTTTATCCAACTCTTTATCTTATCATGTTTACTAAACAAACCTTAAAGCAAAAATAATAATACAGAGTAACTTACACATAACTCACACTTTAATAAACATTTATATTTGTACATATAATACTCAATGCAGTTCACTATAGGAAATTAAAGTTAAGAGTCACATCAATTATTGTAAGAATACTAGAATCTTTGACAATTATGCCAAATTAGCACACCTATCATGATTGTGAATTACTTTCATCTATGCATTAAATAATTAATAACAGTTCACCTCAAGCATATGACCTATTCTATTTTTTTACTCTCTTGGGTAAACTTTGACTTGAGCATTGAAGTGTTTTTTTTATCTATACTTCTTTCAATCCATTACTAACCTCATATACTAATTTTGTAGCAACATTCACTAAATTAATTTAAGCTTGTTATTTGGTTCATAAAAAAATTATCAAATCAAATCTTAATTTGAAAATATATAAGTTACACCACAACAAATTGAATTATCAAAATAATAAGTTGGATGAATGTCAGATAAAGTTGAACCAATAACTTTTCACATGTGATCTATTTCATGTTTTTATTGTATTGGTACAAACATTAACTTGAGCATTAAAGTGTCTTTTGTATTTACACCTTCTTCAATCCATTACTAACATCACATAGCATTCCACCTAACGAGGTATGTGATCTATTCCATATTGTTACTCTCTTGGTGCAAACCTTGATTTGAGTAGTGGGGTGTCTTTTGTATCTATACCTCTTTAAATCTATTACAAATTTCATATATCAATTTTGTAACAATATTTTCTAAATTATTTTAGATTGTTATTTGTCTCATAAAAGATTTATTAAATCAACCGTATTTTAAAAGTATGTAATATTACAACCAAATTGAATTATCAAAATAGCAAGTTAGATGATTATCAAATAAAATTAAGTTAATTTAGATCTTACATTTTTTTTTAATTCTAATAATTCTCCTTAAGTACTTTCAACTTTATTTATACACGATTTCATGAAAACTAAGTAAAATAAAAAATAAAAAAATCAAATATTAATAAGATCGATAAATAACAAATCTTGGTAATAAATTTAAAAAATGTAAGGTTTAATTTGGCTAGAAGCCATATAATTCAACATAATATATATATATATGGAGCAGGATCTTTTTACATCAATGTAAGTCTAAAAAACTCTTACACCCAATTTGAGCCTTTCATTTAACTTAAATCTAATGGTTAGTGAAGTAATAAATTATAGTCTGTTAGATTTAAGTTAAATGAAAGACTCAGATTTGGTGTAAGAGTTTTTAGACTTACACCGGTATAAGAAGATCCTTTATATATATATATATTCCCCCACTTACATCAATTTATTGGATTGGACTCTTCAATTGATTATTTCATAAACCTGAATCATGGCATGATTTTTGGTCAACCTGGTCTGCTAGTCTTCAAATAGGCATGATTTATCTTCTTTGGGCTTTGACGAATTTGTCTCTTTCCACATTTTTTTGAATTATAGCCCTTTTAGTGTTTTTCTTTCTGTTAATCTGTTAGTCATTGCTCCTACAGCTAGTCCAATTAATACTTGGATGTGATCAAAGAAGCATGCTATATGTGCTAGCCTTGCCCTTATCATCTTTTAGGGAAAGAACGTATTGAATTTTAAGGTTTGAATATTTTTAATTTTTATATTTTTGCAAATTATTATTTTTAGTTTCTCTCATTATTCTTCAACAAAAAATAATTGATATGTGATAGTCATTCAGTGGATCACATAAAAAAAAATAGACTAAAACAAAAAATCACAAAAAATACAAGAACCAAAACAAACAAAAATAATTCAAGAAGACTAAAACAAAAAAGCTGCTAAAATGTAAGGAAAAAAAAATAATCAAGCCTATTTTAAAATAAGAAGGATAAGGAGAGTAGTTTAAATATCTTTTAAGAGCAGAGAATATAGTATCTATTTTATTTAAGGAAAAAATTTAGTTGTAATTCTGTAAGTACTTTTCAATTAAAATTAAAGTTTTACTTCGATAGTATGTAATAATATCAAATGCCAATTTTTAATAAAATAAAATTCTAATTTTAATTGGTAAAAAACACCTACAACACAAGTTTTGCCTTTTATTTAATTGTGTTATATTTAAATCTTGAAGTTAACTTCCTTAAAAATATAAAATTGAAGTTGACAAAATGAACTCATTTGTAACCTAATTATTTTTGTTTCCTTTATCAAATCTCATATTGATTTTTTTAATGTGTTATTTAGTATGTAGTAAGCATTTTTACACTATAAAATGAATTTTGAAAGAGAGAGAGAGAGAGTATTTGAATACCAATTGCAATACTGTGATAGAATTACAATTTATTAAGTTAAAAATGTATCATACACAAATAAGTTGTTCACCAACTGTAGGAAAAAAAATATCAATACATACGAATGGATTTGATTTGATTTATACCCTTTTAAAAATTCCTCTTTAATTGGATGCTTTCAATAATTCTATATTTTTCAATTTATGAAAATGAAACATAAATTAAAAAGTTTAAAATTGTTATGTTTTTATAATACAGTTTCAATAACACAAGTCTTTATTAGGGTTGATTTTAAGGCATTAAAAGTAAACTAATTTTATTAAAAAAATATTTATTATATATTTATATTCTTAATATAATAAACATTATTTTCAATTAAAAATTCTCCTTTTAAATATTTAAAATCAGTCTAAAGGTTATCGTTAACAAAATGCTCTTAAAGTATGTACAAATTAGATTGGATCATAGATACAAATCAACACACGTCATGTGATTAATGAATTTAACTTCACAAATTAAGAGAAAGATCTTTTGTAGGTCTTAGAAAGTCAAGGGAACTACATCTAACTTGACACTTGTAATTGAAAATTCATGATATTTGTTTCAGACTAATAATATATTCATGGATATATCTACTATGAAGTACAAACTCTTTCTTATTTGAAGTTTTCCGGTGTCAGACACACCTTCGACATCAGCAATTTCTGTACATTTGTTTGACACGTAGGTGTCCAATTAAAAAAATATTTTTTGCCAATTAAGCCAAAACTTCTATATAACTGGAACATTACTTTAGATAGATATACAGTAGTATTAGTAAAATATTTAATTTTTAAAATTGTAGAAAAGCTAGCTTAAATATATTTGAAAATTGAAAACATTAAAAAATATTGCTGCTTAATTTATTTTTGAGAAGCTTATTTTCTATATATATATATATATATGTGTGTGTGTGTGATGTATAAAATGAGATGTCTTGTTTTATGTGAAAGAAAAATAATAAATTTTGATTATTAAATCTCATCAAAATTTAAACATACAAGTCGTGAGTTTTTTAAAAAGTCATGTAATCTTTAAACAGTGACTGTGACTTTCTAAATCTTTTGAATAAAGAGCCATGACACAAGTTGCCAATAAATTATACAATTATGTGCAATATTATTAGCATTAACATAGCACAGAATGATCACCAGAAATAAATATTATAGCTTGGACTCACCAAATTATGCAGGCCAGAGTCTAGTTGAGAATTCTGACATAATGAACCTTGAGGTCTGAAAAATACTCTTCAATTTCTGTTCAGAGACAGCATATTGATCATCTATTGGAATTAGCTCAGTTTCTTTCAATAGCCAAAATACTCTGCCTAGAGACATGCACTACTTTTCAAATTCCTGTTCAGCAACATAAAAGCAGTGAGTAAAAACTAGAAGATTAGCACGCTTTAGAAAAAAATATTGAAGAATAGGGTTGCAAACTGATTGCCATTGACATTCTCCAAATGCATTAGGTTTTATTTGAACTTTGTGAAAAATATCAAATTTAACTGAATGTTTCACCAAATAAAATGACAATATTAGACAGGGCTGAAAGGAGACAAGAAATAATTCGAGCATACCTGGCAACGAATTATCAGGGTTTTTCTTCAACTGTGAGGCTATGCACAAATTGCATCACAATTTCAACCTGCTTTCATAAGGCTTTCCAATCATATTCCAACTTGGAAGAGTCCAAGAGCCTGTTTGGTAAGTGGGTAAACTGAGTTTACGCACTTTCCAAGATAGAAAACTCCCTTACAACCACAGTTTTTTCATGAGATTTTTTTCAATTACTCCAGAACTTCGTTCCATCCAATACACAAACAGGTCTAACAGACCTTAAATCATTTTTATAAAATAGACCCCAGTTCAGGGACATAGCCTGCTAGCCTCAGTTGGTCATCCAGTTCAGCTAGCAACAAGTGAACTTGATCATAAGATGGGTGATATTTATCTGAAGCTGCAAATAGATGCATTTTCTTATCGATTTCAACCCAGCTAAATCCAGGATATCTCTTCTCTATGCCCAGATCCTTCATGGTTTTCCGGATCATTGCAACCTCACTCCACCTGTTTACTTCAGCATACATGCTAACAAGGAGACTGTAATGTCCAGTGTTACTTGGCTCCAAGACCATCAGATTCTGAACGGCAATATGAGCTATTTCCAAGTTTTTGTGAAGCTTACACCCGTTCAACAAGGCACCCCAAATAAAAGAATTAGGCTCAAATGTCATGTTTCTGATCATCTCTAATGCATCCTCAAGCAAGCCAGCCTTGCTCAATAGGTCAACTATGCAGCCATAGTGTTCAACTCGAGGAGTGATACAGTAATCTTGGATCATGCTCATAAACCTGCGACGACCCTCTTCTACGAATCCTGCATGCATGCAAGCAGTTAGGATACTGACAAACGTAACTGCATTTGGCTGGATTCTTTTCCTCTCCATTTCACCAAACATTCTTAGCACTTCTTTTGTATAACCATGTGTTGCAAGCCCATCAATCATAGAATTCCAACAAAAGAGGTTTTTATTTTGCAGTTTGTAGAACACCAAAAGGGACCTGTCTATGCTCCCACATTTTGCATACATATCAATCAGTGACGACCCAATGTACTCATTGAGATCAAATCCATTCATCATAAAGTAAAGGTGTAACTCCTTCCCTAAGTCAAGCGCTCCTAGATGAGCACAAGCAGAAACAACAGTAGTCATAGTCACTTCATCAGGAATCATTCCTTTGTCGATCATGTCATGAAAAAGTGCTATCACATCGCTATATTTTTTGTTCCGAGAATAGCAAGTCATCATGGTTGTCCAGGAAATAATATCCCTGACAGGCATTTGGTTAAACAAAATCTCAGCAAACTCAACATTCCCTGATTTTGTATACCCATCAATCATGGCATTCCATGAAGTAACATTCTTTTCAGGCATCTCATCAAACAATCTCCCTGCAGAATCCATATCCCCACTCCGAGCATGAGCCGAAATCATCACTGTCCAAGCAAAAACATCTCTTTCGGGCATATCATCAAACACCCTTCGTGAGCCATCCTTATCACCCAAGTTTGAATAAAACTCAACTAAAGTAGTCTGCACAAAAACATGAGAATCAAACCCATGTTTCCAAACGTGGCCATGAACAGCTTTGCCTAAAGCTGAATCCATCAACAAACTGCAAGCCTTGATCAAAGATGAAAAGGAATAACTGGTAGGCATGACATTGTTCCTCAGCATGTGCATATAATAGACCAATGCTTGATCTGAGTAACAGCAATGAACACAGCCTCTCATTAATGCATTATAAACCAAAACATTAGGATTTTCCATGTGGGCAAAAGCTGTAGTTGCCAAATCAATGCTAGAAAAAGTAGAGCATGCACTTATGAATTGATTCATCAAGAAGCAATCTTGGGTGGCATTAACCTTGATCATGGAGGAATAGACCGATTCTAGTGATTTGGGCCTCCAGCATCTCTTTATGTGGCTCAGAATTGTCTCTTTGAGAGTGAGTGGGTACATTGCAGTGTTCAACAATGTGTTATGGAATTGAATTGAATTGACAACATTTTACATTTCCTGGGTTAATTGAATTGAGGTTTACTCAGCGAATAAGCATTGTCTTCGGTTTCCAAACTCAAAAGTTACCTGGGCCCTGAACTTTTTAATAAATAAATCAGGTTCAACCTTAAAGGGCTGTTTAAATAAACAAGTTAGGCCTGAGCTATTTATAAAGTCTGTTAAGCTTGACAGGCCGGCCTGTATAAATATATATATATATATATATATATATTATATAATTTAAAAATAAAGCTATCAAAATATATTTAAATAATAAAGTTATTTCATAATATATTTTTATATTTTTAATTCTGTTATTATTAAATTAATATATTATGTTATAATTTTATTTATTTATAATTATAATAAACAAAAATTATATTATATTAAAAATAAAAAATATTTATACATGATTACACTTTTTAAATAATAAATTTATTTAATAATAAATTATTATATTTAAACAATTTAAAAAATAGTTAAGTCTTTGAAAAGGAATAAGACATAATCAAAATTAAACAAAATAAAATTTAAAAATAAAATAATAAAATTATATTAATATATTTTTTATACTCTTAATTTTATTATTATTAATTTAATTATTATATTAATATATTATGTTATAATTCTTTTTATTTATAATAAATAGAGATTGCTTAAATCTGAATTATATTTTATTTGAAAGTAAAAATTTATTAAAAAAATAATAACAAAATAAAATAGAAAACTTATTATAATATATATATATATATATATATATATATATATAATCAGATCATGTAATAAATAATATAATTATAAATAAATTATATAATAATATATATTTTTATAACTTGCACATGTTTTAATTAAATTATTAGTCAATTTATCAATTTATATATAATTTATAAGTATGTGTTTTAATTTATTGTATCAGTAATATTTTCTATATTACATTAATATTATAGTGTAGTTAATTTTACATTTATTTGTTAATTTAAAATAAAATTAATGAGACAAATAAAATTAAATATTTTTTAATTATTTTTTAATTTAATAGTTATTATTATTTTTATTTTATATATATAGTACATTAAATTTAAATTTTTATATTAAGTTTTATCACATATTTTTTAATTAAGATAAAAATTTAGAAATATAAGTTATTTTAATTTAAATATAAATTTTAATAATTCTTCCTATGCTCATATGTTATTTTTCTTCATCTATGAATTTTATAATATAAGTATTTATCATCTACAATTTTTATAATGATGATATTTATTTACTTTTTAAAATATAATAATTTTTTTAGCTGATTCAATAAATTTTATAAGTGTTATTTTTTGTAATTATTTTTTTAATTTAATAGTTATTATTATTGTCATTATATATATATATATATATATATATATATATATATATATATATATATATATTGTAGTAAGTTTAAATTTATTTTTTTTAAAACATATAATTTTCTTTTAATTGATTTAATAAACTGTGTGAATGTTATTTTTTTATCAATTTTATGTATTTATTATAACTTTATTTGTTGAATATAAGATGTCTTTAAATAAACAAAATATGTTTCTAAAATAAAACTAAAATATTTACTATTTATATAATTTTAAAAAATAAATAAAAAAATATAAATATAAATATAAATTTTATTAATATAAAATATTTATAATTAATACTTAAATAATATTTTAAAAATTATTTATAAAATTATATAAATATTATTATAATTATTTAATAATTATTAAGAACATAAATAGAAATTAGAAAAATGTATAAACTAATTTAATAATAAAATATTTATATTTTTATTAATATTAATTTTTTTTTAACAGGCAGGCCAGGTCAGGCCACTTAAACAGGTCAGGCTAAGACTAAAATAAAGTCTTTAACAGGTAACAGGCTAAGCTCAGGCCTAATAATTATGTTACAGGTCAGACCTGTTTAGGCTAAGACTAAAATAAAGTCTTTAACAGGTAACAGGCTAAGCTCAAGCCTAATAATTATGTTACAGGTTAGGCCTGTTTAGAGTAAAGTCTGGTCTGGCCTGTTTCCATCCCTACTCGCAAGCAGTTAAAAGGGGAAAAATTTTCAGTGTTCCAAGAATTATTTAAAATAACAAAATTTTTCTTTATACTTTTATTTTGTTATTTATTTTTTTAACTAAAAATAAAAAGGTTACTTAATATAGAAGAATATTTATAAATGATAGATGCTATAAAAATACCAAAAATTTACTGCCAAGAAAAAGTATTGAAGCTCAACAATGGCAATGATATGAATTTCTATAGAGCTCCAACAGCTGTAAGGTGATATCATATTCATTGAGTGAATACTTAAAACGGTTTCTAAAAAAATTTTATGTACTTAATTTAGTCTATAAAAAATAAAAATTATTAAATAGTTATTAAAATTTAGTGTATTGGACATGTTAATTTTTCTTGTTAAATAATCTAATTTAACTTAATAAAACTCTTTATTCAACTTGTTAAATAGTTGAGATAATGTCTTTAATTTTAATTTAGTAAAATAATTTTTTAATCAAATTAGTTTCTAAAAATTAACTCTATTAAATTTTTAAAGAATTAATTAAAAAATTTAAAAATATTTTGTAGGATAAAAATTAGATACATATTTAAATCAAAATATAATATATTTAAATTAAAGTAAGTCCAAGACACACACACATACATATATATATATATATATGTATATATATTAATACACTTAAATATTAACGTAGATAAAAAAAATAAAGTCTAAAAGCATAATGTTACATTATGAGTAAAAAGTCAACAAATGAAAAAATAAAGTGATGTATGCCCATTAAGAAACAAAATAAAGTACAAGTACTAGTAAAGATGATATAAACAAACATACTTCACATCATGACAACCTTAGCATATTTTTCACACACTCAGAGTCACATAAAAGAAGAGATTTTGTTAAAAAGTAAGGATGTCAACTCTCCACAGAGAAAGATGACATCAATTATTAGTATGTTGCATGAAAATGAGCATCTCTTTAGCAACATTAAGATAAATGTTTCCTTTTGAGACAACACAAGGGATGTAAAACATTGAGCTTTCTTAATATGAAATTACACGTGTCCTTTTTTTTTTTTTTTTTACATAAATGTCTTAAAAATCATATTTAAAAGTCAATTACAAAACGACTTCCCTATTACATTCAAATTTGGTTTTGCCTCCAAAGAAGTTAACTTTAATCTACTTTTGTCCTTTATTAAAGTCAATTTAATCCGATTTTCGTGGTTGGTTTGTGGATTCAAAGAAGTTGATTATAATCGACTTTCATAGTACAGCAAAAACGATTAAAATCGACTTCTATTGATGTTTGGAGACAATTATAATCAACTACTATATAGCCCAAATGAGAGAGAGGCGACACAAGAGAGAAGAGAGTAGAGAGAGAACCGAGACTAAAGAGAGAAAGGAGGCCAGATAGAGTGATCAGAGAACAGCGAAGACAACAGAGACGACAGAAGATGGATAAGATTTATATCGACTTAATTTTGTTGATCATATTGTAAGCAAGTTGTTAACACATGTAAATTAATTTTTAAATATAATTATTAATTTTTGTATTTAATTTAATGTATTATTAATTCTATAATTATATGTTTAGAAAGATATGTAAATGTTAATAATTATTATCTTGTAAATTAATTATACTTGTTTGTTATAATTATAATTATTATGTTGAGGAATGCAAATAAAATTCTATTATATATTTATAATTTTATGATAATTTAGTTTTGTATTATAGTAATTTATAATTATAATAATTTTATTATAATGTTTTCATTTAAATCTTGTATATATTATTTTGTTATTGTATAGGAAGCTCAAATTTTAAAAGTAGGCGTTATAATATGATGGTTCCCCCAGATTCAAGAATGAAATCATTTCTTAGGTAGACTAGTTTTTGACATGTTGCACATATGTTATAATATGATGGTTCCCCTAAATTCAAAAATGGAATCATTTCTTAGGCAGACTAGTTTTTGGCATGTTGCACAAATGGTTCTAGTATTTGATTATGATAGAACACTTATAAGTGCACTTGTAGAACGTTGGAGGCCTGAGTCACATACATTTCATTTTTCATAGGAGAATGTACAATCACTTTGGAGGATGTTGTGTTTCAGCTAGACTTACGTATGGATAGAGTCCCCCATGTGAGTGGTTGCATTGGAGCATTGGAGAAATTTTATGATCAGAATATATAAGCATTGTGTAAAGATTTACTTGAAGCAGTTTCTGATGAGAGAAACATAAAAGAATTTTCTGTAAATCTACAATGGTGCACAGATATATTTGGAGCATTACCTCACAATGCTGATGGACAAACTATTATCCGTTACACTAGAGCGTACATAATGGTTCTATTTGGTGGGGTATTGTTTTCAGATAAATCAGGATTTAGGGTTTATATAAAGTGGCTACCTTTTTTAACTAAGTTTACTAAGATTTTAAACTATAGTTAAGGTTCTGTTGTTTTAGCATCCCTTTATCGTGAGTTTTGTCATACAGTGAAATACAATGTTACTGAAATTGTAGGTTGTTGCCTCTTATACAGCCTTGGGCATGATACAGAATACCTCGATTAGCCCCTAAGCACCATCATCCTCTCACTTTTTGACTAGCATTGAGGTATATTTATTTATAAATATATTAATTTTTTTAATTTATATATATATATATATATATATATATATATATATATATTAAATTTGCAAGTAAAAACTAATTATGCTTATTTTAGGTGAAAAAGTTTTAGGTCGTCAACAAGATCATATACGAATAAGTTGTTGCAGTATAGGAGGATCGTTGATTCAATTAGTATTAATAGGGTAAGTTGAAATAAGGTGTATGCTACTAACTTTTGTTTTAAATAATTATACTTTTTGCTCTAATATTTGTTTTTGATTATTTCAGTTTAGGTGGATGCCTTATAGCAACAATGAGGTCAGGAACATTACACCCCATTTTGCGTATATGAGGCTGATATTTGGGCATC